GTAGTGACAGAATAGAAACACGCCATTGTAATATTTTGTTGCCCAACTTCTAATAAAATTTTCTTTTACTGTTCAATTGTAAATAAACGTTTTATCTCTTATAAATCTGTTCTAACACTGATAGTATTTGTAGGGAAAATTACCTCTACTTCACTTACTCACATACCTTTCAGATTATACTCATGATTTTGTAGTTGTTATTTAAGTTGTTACATTGTATAGCGATACACGAAGAAGTGTAGGCTATTATTGAGACTGAGAACTTGATTTGTTGTGTAATTCTGTAGTGTGCTGTCCAGACGTGACACTATATTGCACAAATCTTTTTTTATTTTGTATTGGGTTTACAAATTTAGCCAAATTTGAATTTTTTTGACTGATAATAGATTATCCGTACCAAAATAAAAAACCTAAATTTTTGATTCAATTTGGGTTTTCTACTGATATTTTTGATCGCGGAGCAGTTAAGGTGGGAAATAAATATTATTTAACACAATCTAATTGTTCAAATGTATATATATTTAATCAAATCATCATTCTTGAATGGAATATATTTGTATATGCTATTAAAAAATACTATCAAAGAATTCAATAGGTACGTTCTATAAGCTAAGAAGAGAATAGTTGGATACCTATCCTACTCGGTTTTAACTCGAATATGAAACATGCAACTTGATACGTGTATGAAAATATTTTTACGTATGCGGGATCGGATAATATTTATGCAAAATGAAAATCCCATTTGTTTGTTGTTAATATATAGCTTAAACAATAATAATAGGGGTGCACCGGTTATTGGTTGGATTTTTTTACAAATTAAATTATTGCTTCTTAAAGATTACAAACGATTTTTGCAAGTTTAGTATCTTGAAATATATCATAAGTTACCTATTCTAGTATTTTATAATAATTCGAGTATTTTGAATAAATTTATCATTAATCGATCTATTGTATTATTTCCACTTGTTCCATTTGTCAAAATCATTTCTGAGATGTGTGCGATATATCCTTTGATTGGCATATCTGAATTTACGTTTAGATGAGTGGACCAAAATATCAAATATTATTTAATAATATATTTATTACTATTAAAAAATTTTTTAAACTTTGTTTAGAAATAACGAAAAAATCCAATTATTGACACTTTCAATTAATGACATCTATAGGAAAGAAAAAAATAATAAATTTATTCAATATAAATTCTAATAATATAAAAATAATTAATTCGATAGTAGTGATATCTATAGCCTTGTTCAGGTGAACATTCATTTAGGTATTTGGTTCGAGTCATTATATATAACGCAACTCTCAATGAATTTGTTCTAATTAGTCTTGTAATATAGATCGCAACCGGAATTCGATTTATCATCCATATCCACACATATCCATAGAAAGGACACTTGCATGATCATGATTTTGCGAAATTTTTAAGTATTTCCTTTTTTGACTAAATATTGAGAGTCTTTTAAGACTAGATTGTCACTTCACTTTAATATGTAATACGTAACATTTAAATAAGTGTTTCGACGACGAATAAACAAATTTTTTTATTAAGATTCACCGATTGCTTTTTCCAAATTTGATTGATAAATATTTTAAAGCCTTACTATAAATATTAATAACAATAACTAAAAATCTATTGTGCATAAATTATTTGATAACAAAAAATTAAAAACAGAATCCCGCAACACTTAATTTAAGTATATAAACGATCGTTGCCGTCGCCGTAATTATGTATTAAAAATTATCAAAAATGTTTTGCTTAGACTTTATCAGAAAAGGCCTCCCACTTATATGGATCCGACGAATTATTATTGTTTTATTAGTAGCCCTTTTAATTACTTTCTCTGTAATATTGATTTTGAAAATGGTTAAAGAAGAGCCTAGTATCAAAGTATCTTATGATACAACAATGAAATCTCAACCTATGCCAAGTAAAAAATAATTCTTTGATTTTAAATACTGAAAACGAATGACATGTTTATTCTAATATCAAAATCATAATCAATATAGATTTCTATTTTTCTTTTAATAAAAACTTTAGTTTATATTGTTTTTCTGGAAGTAAGGAGCTTTAATTATTTCATAAATTGATCTATTATTCTGTTTTATATATTAATCTGATCCAAAATGTTTTAAAAGGCAAAAATTGCCCTGATTATTTTAAAAACGACTACAATGAATCACAACTTTATCCCTATAGTATCTCATATGAACCAAAAGGGCAAATATCTTTGAACGCTGACACTGATGTTTACACATTTGAAATATATATCAATGATGAAACATTTGAGAGTTTAAATCAAAGCGATCCTATGATTATGCAAGCGATTGATATAGGTATTTTTCATAAAATTGAGATATTTTGTATATTAATAATAATAATATAACATGAAAATAAATAAATAGAATATCCGTACCAAAATAAGCATCCACCTAAATTTATTGAAACAATTGAGGTGGGAAATTCATATTATTTAACACAATCTAATGGTACAAATGTATGTATATTTAGTTAAATAATCATTCTTGAATGGAATATATTTGTATATGTTATTAAAAAAATATTATTAAAAAATTCGATAGGTATTTTATTTTAAGTTCTATAGGCTAAGGAGAAAAGAATTGGATAACTCATTTTTTTCCCTACTCGGTTTCGACCCAAATTATGAAACATACCATTACATTGAATCTGATATGCGTATGAGAATTTATTTTTTTTTTATTATTTACGTACGTATTTTTTAGTACTAATGTTGTTTAACTACAGAGACTATCGAATATTCGTTTATAAATGGAAACGATTTTTACGCAAAGGTGCCAATCGGGCTAAAGACTCCTATTTTGCAAATAGAAAAAGAACAAAGGTAAAAACTACCTCAAGTGAAGTGGATCCAATTCGTTAATATCGTTTTATATTTTGTTGCGATATTTGCTAATATATCTGGATGCACAACTTTATAAACAATAATAATAGGGCGCGTACCGTAAGCAACATTGTTTTAAATTTTTTTTAGAAATTTATCATATAAACCACCAATAATTATTATTTTGGATAAATAGATCACAGAAGTAATAGCAAATATTTCCGCTCTTTACGGACTAACTCTTAGTATTTATGTACTCTTATTTGGTAGGTTGAATTTATTTATTTACGAACAAATTAAATTATTACATTGTATTTATAATTTGCTTACTCAAATTTTAGGAGCAAGAGAAAGCAAACCACTTCTTGCAAAATATATGATTCTCGAGAATCCTTCCGAAGACGATTGTAAAGTTTAAAAAAATGTATCAAACAAATGCAGAAAAATGTGTGAAACCTGTGAAACCGGAAGGTGCAACTAATTTGTATTTTATTTTAATTAATTTATATTTTTTAATTTATAATTAATATTATATTTTATATTTTTTTAATTTATAATTAATATTATATTATATTACATATTTTCAAACATTAATATTTTGTCTCATTTAAGAAATCTTCATTTAAATCTACAGATTTTTTTAATACCACATCATGTTGACTAAATCTTTTCCATTTGTTGGGTTTTAAAGTCTTTATCATATAAATCATAAATTGGTCCATCGAAACCGTCTTTTGCAATTTTATCATAAGTCACCCATCCGGTATTTTCGAATAATTCGAATATCTCGAATAAATTTATTTATTTTTACTTGTCTATTTATCGAAATAATATCCGAAACGTGTTTTAGCGCACCAAAAAGTAGTATAAGGTTTTAGTATTTTAGTATGTAAGGGGATTTGAATTTACGTTTAGATATGAATGAGTGGTCCAAATATATTGTTTTATATTAAAATTTATTACTATTAAAAACAAATTTACACCTTTGAGATCCATGTTTATTTTGAAAGACATGAGGCTGTGAAAGATTGGAAAGATAAAATTATAAATTTAAATGTTAATGATTTAAAGAATATAGCACTACATCGTCATTATGCATTCATTTAGGTAACAACTGTCAATGAATTTCTTCTTGTGAGTTACTAAAAGTATAATTAGTCCCGTAACATCATGAAATTTTTTTAGACGTAAATTTTCGAAATATTATATAAATATTTCGGAAATTTACGCCTAAAAAAATCTGTTTTTTGAATTCGCTCGCGATTTAAGTGACAGGGAGCGATTTTTTTACTAAGGTGTTTCTAAGATAGATCGAAAGTACTTGTTCCTTGCTACATGTTGATATGTGTTTCATTTCTATAGCATCGATATTCATTAAGATATTCACGTTTAAAGTCGGACGTCCGTGAAAAATTTCGTAAAATCTCCATAAGTTTCGTAATATTACGCACTGTATATTACGAAATATTACTAAAATTTATTTGCAAATTTTTTCACGGACGTCCGAATTTAAACATGAATATCTCGGTGAATATGGAATGAAGCATATTTTGAAATGTAGCCGGAAACCAGGGCTTTCGATCCATCATAGAAATACCTTAGTAGAAAATCGCTCCCTGTTACGTAAATCGCGAGCGAATTCAAAAACGGATTTTTTCTGTAAATGGTGTAATATTACGTAATATTACGTTTACTGATGAAACATTACTGTAGAGATTATTACGAAACGAGATTTAGTCAATTTATAAAATATTAATATATTCATATCATTAATATCTAACTTTAAAAATGACAACACTTTTGCGTGATTTATGCGAAATTTTCAAGTATTTTTTTTTTTGAAAAAAAATATGCTCACATCCAAGACATCCAAGGTTATTAATTATATTTTTCCACTCGTTATCTCCACAGAATAAGTATTGGGTTTTGAAAATTGTCTGTGAGATCATATCTGTATAATTCTAAACAATATCTAAAAATAGTTGTATAAAGAGAAAAATCAACCTAAAAATATTATGTTCCTTTATCTAAATACTGTAATTTCTGCAATTTGTATTTATCAATTGCTAATCCGTCACCATCTGTCGATCATTTTATAATAAAAATTCGTTATAATCTGATGCGCGTGTATAGGTGAGTATAAATCGTCGCAATATTCATAGATGAAATTTTAGTATCTATTATTTGAACATTTTTTTTGTAGAAATTCTTATTGAATGACATGAGATCGACGCAAATGATCGATCGGAGATAAGATATGTGTAACAAAAAAGCACCAAAAGATCAGTTGCTTGGAATTTGTTAGAATGCATATTGTTGTGTGTTACGGGTTTTTGTGTGTATTAAGATACACACAAGAAATCCGGTGAAATTAGAGGTTGTTACAGTCCAGGTGTGGACTAGCTTGCCTAGTCATCACCCATTATTTTAATGCAATACAATATCTGGAACAAAATACACTCACTGTTATTTATAATATATATAAAAAATTGAGATATAAGTACTATGCTAATAAAATATATAAATAATGTAATAAATTAAATTATCCAAATTATCATCATCGTCTAATTAAAAAAAAAAAATTAAAAAATAAAAAAATTAAAATTAAATATAAATAAATAATCACGAAACGAAAATTGAATATAATATAAAATGGAATTTTAATGAAAAGATTAAAAGATTCTGTTTAATTTTTTTTTCTAAATTTATTCCTTTTTAGGAAGATTTTTGAAAAATTGATTGGTATGAATTGACTGTAGTGGAAGAAGTAGGATTAAATCGAATTATAGAAAATTTTAATATGTCCCAAGGATTAATAGATGATGCGAGCGATTTTTTTGTGGGTTGAAGGATACTTCTTGATTTGATCACTTGATTCGTTCAAAAGAGAGAATTAAATATTCTATTTTTTTAAAATAAATTTTATGATTTTTTGATGATTTTTTATTATTATATAATTTTTAGAGATTCATTCATTGAGTTTTATCAACAAAAAAATATACATTATTGGCTCCATTTTTCTTCTATATTATCTTCCCATTTTTTTTTTTATTTTATTTTTTTATTATTAGAAAGGAGTAGTTAAAATTCTCTCACTCCCTTTATTAGAATATACAGTAACTTAAAACCAATAAACTTTTTTTCGCCAATGCTATTGACAATTAATGTCACATTAATTACATTAATTGATCCAATCAATTAGTTTAGCAAGTTTTCCTTGGAGGGAGGAAAGCGGAATTTCACCTTCATTGATCCTTTATAAGTTTAAAAGTTTCAAGTTTTATTACAATAAAAATAAATTTATCTAATCTTACTACGGACATTTTATTACTTTGTCATTTTTCTTCAATTTCATTTAAGAAGAACTTCAAGAATTTTGATCTTGAAATACTATCATTTAATAATACTACATATTTATTATTCGTAATCTTCGTATACGTCGAATAATAAAATTTCGGCAAAAAATCGTTTGAGAAAAGAACGCAAAACAAAAGGACTTGATTACAAACAAATGTAATTGATTTTATATATAAAAAGTCTTCATGCATATTATGTGGTGTTTTACAACGAGGAAGCCTTGTTATGATGGTGCAATAGCAATTTCTCAATGTGGAATCCAACATTTTACAGTAGGTGAACTTTATTGATAGTTAGTATTATAGCAACACGAGAATTGCGACAATTTAAATATAACAAAATTCAAATAGTGGATTAATCAATGGTAAGAATAAATACAATTGTTCTTTGGTTCTCGAAGGTATATACAATGTAATGGTGGTGGATATGAGAAATTTACTTTTGTGTCCGGAAAAAGATACCATCTTAGTATTATTGATACTAGGTAACTCTTTATATTTCTTTAACATAATAAACAGTTAGTTTGTATTAATATAATTATTATTTTTTGCATCATTTTTTTTTAAATCGAAAATCATACCCTTAATGTAATTAAGTTTGAAGGAACTTACACTACCATTCCGGTCGAAGTATATTTCAAATCAGCTTTATCTTGGAATTTTATATAACACACCAACAATCTTAAAACATACAATATGATATAATTCATTATACAATGAAGAAAATTAAAACGTACAATATTTACACAATTAAAGGAAATTAAAACGTACAATATTTACACAATTAAAGGAAATTTAAACATACAATATGCTATAATTCATTATACAATGAAGAAAAAGAACCGATAATCGAATATTGGAATAATTTCATCATTTTAGAATTTTTTAGAATGGATCAATCAGTAACATTATACCTTATTAAGAGTCCTACATTTAATAAAGTCTTTTAAGACGAGATCGTCACTTTAATATTTATATATTTTCGCATTACAAGTTATGTAATACGTAACATCTATTTGTTTTTTTATTTACTGGCGTGTAATTTATATTGCACAAAAATTTTTTTTTCTTTTTTTCAACCAATACGCCATAAGTTGTAATTAATTGCGCCACTTTTCAATTTCCTTTTTTGAATCATTAATTTAGATCCCACGATTGCTTTTACAAATATAGCCAAATTTAAAATTTTTTTGACTGATAAATATTTTAAAGTTTTACTATAAATAATAAGGTTAAAATGAATGGATCTCTTGTGCATAAATACTATCTCCGAAGTCCGAGGAAATTGCCTTTTACATCATCAAAATTGCATAAAATCTCGCAGAAACATGATTATGACGTTTAGAGTAACCATATATCAATTGTATAACTCGAATTCCAATTGCTTAAATTGGACAGTTGGAATTCTAGATTTTCTTAATTATTTTCAGTTGCCGTAAATGTTTATGTTTATACTAAAAAATGTATTCATAAAAAAAAATAAAGATTAAAATAAAAAATCTCTAAATCCATTGTATGTAAATTATAATTTTTAAGTATATAAGCGACCGTTTCCGTCATTATGTATTAAAATTATCAAAATGTTTTTTTTAGACTTTATCAGAAAAAACCTCCCACTTATATGGATCCGACGTGTTGTTATTGTTATATTATTAGGCCTTTTGATTACTTTTTTTATAATATTGGTTTTGAAAATGGCTAATGAAGAACCTGGTATCAAAATATCTTACAATACAAACATGAAAGAACAACCTATGCCAAGTAAAAATAATTCTTTGATTTTAAATACTGAAAACGAATGACATTTTTTTCTAATATTGAAACTATAATCAATATAGATATCTATTTTACAAGCTTTAATAACTTTAATATAAGTTGTGATTATTATGGAAGTAAGGAGCTTTAATTATTTTATAAATTGATTTATTATCCTATTTTATATATCTATCTAATCCAAAATGTTTCAAAAACAAAATGTTTTAAAAGGCAGTGATTGTTCTACTTATTTTGAAGCAAAATCCGAAGATAATTTCGAAACTTATGGCTACGATCTTGCATATTTACCAAAGGGACAAATATCAATGAACACTTCTGAAGGTCAATGGGTAACGTTTACTATACGAATCAATGATGACACATATGATTTTTTAAATCAAAGTGCTATGAGGATGCAAGCATTTGATTCAGGTTTATTTTTATGAAATTGTGATATTTGTATTTTTATATATTTAATATTTGTATCTTTAATAATAATAATAAAATAAATAAATAGATTATCCGTACCAAAATAAAAATCACCCTAAACTTATTGATTCAATTGAGGCGGAGAATAAATATTATATAACACAATCTTCAGATTTAAATGTATGTATATTTAATTAAATCATCATTCTTGAATAGAATACATGAGTATGCGTATTAAAAAAAAAAGCTAATAAAAAATTCAATAGGTATATGTTCTTAGGTACTATAGGCAACGAAGAGAAGAATTGAGTAGCTCATTTCTTTCCCTACTCGGTTTCAAACCAAAATATGAAATATATAATCGCATTGGAACTGAATTGGGTATGATAATTTTATTGTTATTCATTATTATTACGTATTTTTTAGTGTTAATGTTGTTTATGCCGTAACTACAGAAACTATCGAATTTCCATACACAAATGATACACTTGATGTTTACGCGATGGTGTACATTATCCTAAAAACTCCTAGTATAGAAATAGAAAGAGAACAAAAGTAAAAACATTTCCTATTTGTTAATATCTTGTTATATTTTGTTACCATATTTTATTAATATATTTTATTAATATATTTGGATGCATAACTTTATAAACAATAATAATAGGGCTCGTACCGTAAGCAACATCTTTTAAATCGTTTTTGAAATTTTATCATATACAACTAGTGATTATTATTTTTGGATAAATAGATCTTAGAAGTGTTAGCAAATATTGCTGCTCTTTACGGATTAGCTTTTGGTATTTATGCACTCTTATTTGGTAGGTTGATTTTTTTTTTTTTTTTTTTTAAAAAAAAAAAAATTAAATTATTACATTGTATTTATAATTTACTTACTCATTTTTTTTAGGTGTAAGAGTAAGCAAACCACTTCTAGCAAAATTCATGCCTGTGCCTACCGAGAATCCCTCCCCCGATGGTTTAAAAGTTTAGAAAAAAGTATCAAATAAATGCAGAAAAAATGTGTAAAACCGGAAGAAGCAACTAATTTGTTATTTTAACTATTAGGTTTAAACGGATGATATATTTTTATTATAAATTTCTATTTTTTAAATATAATTATTATTATATTACATATCTTCTAACTTTAATATTTTCTTCATTTAAGAAATTTTCAATATCTCAATCATAAATTGGCCCATCTTTTCAATTTTATCATAAGTCACCATTCTCGTTTTTTAGAATAATTCGAGTATCTCGAATAAATTTATCTATTATTTTCACTTGTACATTTATTGAAATCATATCCGAAACGTGTTGTAGCACACCGAAAAGTAGTACATCCTTTTAGTATCTGAATTTGCATTTAGATATGAATGAGTGGACCGAAATACATTATTTTATATTATATTTATTACTATTAAAATCTAATTAAATTTGTATAATAAATCACGAAAAAATATAATTTTTTTAAACTATTTTTAGAAATTACACCTCAAACTAATTTGAGACTATGATTTGAATGACTTACATTCTGCCACGTATGATGATATGAGTAATGTGTCTGTGAAAGATGGATGGAGAAAATTATCAATTTATTTAACATTAAGTTAATAATATAAAGAATATAATAATACATTAATAATTAATCGATAGTAGTCGTCATTATACATTCATTTAGGTAACATCTGTCAATGAATACGTTCTGTTCTTGTGAGTTACTAAAAGTGTAATTAGTCCTGTGAACATTACTGTAGAGATTATTACGAAACTAGATTTAATCAATTTATAAAATATTAATATATTCATATCATCAATATCTAACTTTAAATTTATGCAATGACAACAATTTTGCGATTTTCAAGTTTTTTTTTAAAAAAAACTAGAATTCAGGGTCAGGGGCGTTTTATTTAACTAAATACAAAAATCTAATAATTTAAATTAATAATAACACTCTAAACTTAAATTAAAATAAAATAAGTTTATTAATAAATTAATAAGTTTTTGTAAGTTTGTTTATATTATATTATGAATGTATTAAATCTGCCAATGCTACTGTTATATTTTTCTTTTAATCTTTCATATTCAATGATGACATTGGGATCAGTTTTGATTGAATTTTTGTTAAATGATGTAATTTCTAAGTTTTTCAATGATGTTGCTCTACCTAAGGCCACATAAGCTTGTCCATTTGCAAATATTGTTTCATCTAGAGATACTGTTACATGAGGAAGTGTTAGCCCTTGTTTTTTGTGTACTGTTAATGCAAATGCATTTTGAAGTGGAAACTGATAATGGTATGAGGGTATTCCATTTACTCTGAAATAGTTAGTTTCTTTTTTTACTATTACATTTGCAATACCTTTTTTTAATGGAAAGGTTGTTTGAATTGTGTCATTGTCAATAACTTTAATGACCACACCTGTGGAACCAATTTTGTGAATAATGAATTATTAAGAAACATTACTCTCATACCTTCTCTAAGAATTACTTTTGCTGGAAGGTTTGTATAATGACAAAATAATTTATCTGTTTCAGTAATTGACATTTGAGCATTACCCATATAATCAATTGCTATTGATTCATAAGGACCTTTATGTTCATTAACTGATGGAAGATAATTTCCAATAATATCATTAATATTTGATGCCATGCCATATTTCTATATCCTACAATGTGAGTAGTATCTAATATATTATCTATAAAATTATATCTGTGAAATTTTTGTTGCATTTCATTAATAATGTCTTCAGTGATATTTCCTATTCTGATTTTTTTCAAGCATTTGATAAAATGTCTCATCTTTTTGTTGATGATGAGAAGTAGTTTAAAATAATGGAAAAAAATTTGTCCATACAGGTGAATAAAAAATTAAATAACCTTGAACCGGTGGTAATTGAAAAAGATCTCCAATAAGGAGAACAGAAATTCCACCAAATTCTAAGTGTTTTTTTTTTAATTTGGCCAAATAGTATGCTAAGAAATGTTAACATTTGAGCTGCAACCATAGAGGCTTCTTCTATTATTATATATTCTACTTTTGATAATCTTTCATATAAATTTGATCATTATAGACAAGTGATTGAAAATTATAAATGTTTCCTGAAATTCATAATTCAGAATGAATTGTTTTTCATCAATATTTTGAGCTGCTACACCTGTTGGTGTCATTAAAAGATAATTTGTATTTTTTGATTTTAGAAATTTTACAATAAGTTGAATAATATGTGATTTTCCAGTTCCTGCTGAACCTGTTACAAAGAAATAAGGGTGTTGATGATTGCTATTTTGATTTCCCAACAGGTAGTAAGAATATTATATACATAATATTGATCAGGAGGCAAAATTAGTGTTTCATGATTTGAAAAAAATGATATTGATGGAATAAGTTTTGTTAATTGATTGTCAATTATTGTCATCACATCTTGTTGTAATGTTATTAATAATGAGTCAAATAAATTTTGATAATTCATATTAAATTGATTAGTATATGTTTGTGATGAATTAGATATTGAATTTATAACATTTATATATTCTACAGGAAATTTACTTTGAAAGTGAGCTTTATAAGTATTGAAATTGCCTTTTAAATTATGTTTATTTGAGCTGGAAGTTTAATTAATAACTGTTAATAGAAAAAGTCTTCAACATTTTTAATTGTTAAGTATTGAAATCGAATTAATATTTCTTTTTTCTTTTTACAATAATTCTATTACTTTTGTTTCCAAAAATCTCTTTGAACAGGTATATTAGATATTTGTTTAAATTTTCTGTAATACATTGGATATGTTAGATTATCAAATATTGGTTTTATAGGCCTTTCAAAATATTTATCAATAATATCTTGATAGTATGGATCTGTAATTTTTCATGTTCATTAATTAATTGACAAATAGAACAAATTGCTTTATTTCGATAAGCAGGAGCAGATGAAGGTAAGTAATTAACAGCTATGGTACTACGAGAAAAGATTTTCCAAGTAATAATAACATTAATCCCATTGTTCCCATTCTATGAGCATGAATATGTCTTTTAAGTGTATTTTGTTCTTTTAATTCAAATAATTCAGTTGGTTCTGGTTTTGATGCATATTTGCACATATATTTAGCAAAAAATCTATTGATTACAAATTGAATATTACAATGAGCTTTGCCAAATATAAAGTGTAGGTGCATGATATGGAACTACCTAATGATCTTCTAGTTTAGTTCTTTTATATATAAATCTTAATTCATTTGTATTATGGTATGTTGAAGTTGATAAAGGTTGAGGAAATCCATATTTGTATCAAGAACCTAAAGAAGGTGTTCCAGCACAATGAATAGGATTACAATGATGTATTTGGTGTTTTTTTTACCAAGTCATAAAGTTCTTTTTCATTATTTTCATCAGGGAGATCAGCTCCAATAATATTATTTGTTATTAATTCTTCAATTGGTTTATCAAGCCATATTAATCCATGTACAGTGGGTGATCAAAAATCACGGGACAGTTGAAAATTTTTAAAAAAATTACTAAAATTAAAATGCTGATTCTACCACAACTAATGATCTAATTTGCACAAACTTTTTTTTATTAGATTCCCCTAAACAAGAGCTATTATATAATAAATTTTTTTTAAAAACTAAGTGTCTGTACATAGAGAAATTACGCTTCAAATAAAATTGACAAAAAATAAAAAATTTAA